GTTTGTATTTTTTAATATGACCTATTGTACCTTGCTATTTTTTTTTTTTTTTTTTGTGAAATAAGGTACCGTGTGGATGTTTTGAACACCTTTTGTGTCAACTTATTTTAATGCTGCCCACAGATAACCTTGAAAAGTTAACTAATATCGAATGAAGGCGAAGCGGTGGCATTCAGATTGGTTAAGACAAAAAGGAAGGTACGCATATGTTGTATCATGATTACAGATATGATGACAATATCATATCTTTCGGATATTCTGAGGAGGTATACATGTGTAATGAACTTCCTTGTCTTGACAATGAAACCATACTGGAACTCCTGATCTTGTATATATTGTATGTTAAAGTTGGGATTCGTGACATCTTACAAATTTGTGGAACCTATTTTTTTAATAAAAAGTCATATACTATTCGAGGTTCCTTATATGGACAATCCATCTAATTATATACATCATCGACATCATCGGCACGGATGAAATCATTAGGCGTAAACATCGATGGCATCACCTCACTAACCAACTTCTTACAGTAAGATATACATGTTATTGGTGGAATTTTATTCGTTTTCTTTTTTCTCTTTCTTTTTTTCTTATTTCAGAAATCAAAAGGTCGTGAAAATAAAATTACTAGAAGTAGGAAGGCCAAGACTCTATTAATGTAACAGAGGGTCAAAGGCAACAGAAGAACTCATCTCCCACAGTGATAATGAAATAAGTGCATGGCCGTGCAATGAACATACAAACAATCCGTTGTGCGCTTATATTATGCATGTGGATTTCATTTGTCTCCTCAAAGAGAAACAAACAATCCGGGAGAAAATAGTAAATAGCAAGGTACAATAGGTCATATTAAAAAATACAAACAGAGCCGTCGCGTGTCATCGGTTAATTTGGCGCCCATTTTTATAGCTTTAGAGAGTGAAAAGAGGAATCAGGTTTTAATTTTAATAATTAATATTTTTTGTCTCGCAAATTGAAAAGAAAATAGGCCCCGTTCTATGTCACACGTGGAATCATTGTTGTACCGTTTTTTATTACAAAGGGAATTTAATTTACGCCTGTGTAATTATATATCATTGCGCCGTTGTTCCCGAAGTGCATATGTGCACTCGGCTCAGAGGTTTACAAAATATGGCCACGAAGCTTGCCGGAACTCTGTCGTCACGTTAAATTCGTGTTCACGTATTCGAAACCATGTACACATCATATATTAAATCACACGCGTATTTTTTTGATATTGTGATGGAATACTTTGTTTTAATAGAAGCCTTAAATGTAAAAAATAAAAAAAAAACAAAAAAAAAAAAACAAGATATTTTTTTTTATTCTATTAGTTTTATACGCGCATTGTTTTTTTTTTTTTTTTTGACATTTGTGAAAGAATGCTTTATTTTATAGAAGTATAAAATAAATAAATAAATTTTTTTTGTTTTTGCTTTTTTTTTTATTCTACCGATTTTTTTTTTTTTCCTTTTTCTCCTTGCCTTCCCCCCTTTTTTTGATACCTTGTTATAATTCCTCGCGATTAAAAAAGAGAATGAAAACTTAATGCATTTCATATGGTGACCCTATATGTATATACTGTATCTATATAAAACTTATGTCACAAAGATCGAAGATTTTATAATATTTCATAAGCTTAAAGGAGGAGTTCATAAATACAGTAGGTGAAAGATATGAAAGAAATATAAGAAATTTTTAGTGATGCTCGATAATAATACAAGAAAAAGAATTACACGTGTGAATTCCAATATTCTTCTAATATAAACAGCTTGCTTTGTATTTGATCGATTTACAATTATTTTTTTTTAAAAAGAAAGAAAGAAAGCCTCGATCAAACACAAATGCAAAAGATATAAATTACATGTTTTAATATTATGAATATATAATTTGAAATGATGCCAAAATATTTACTGGGATAAGGTTTTTTAATTTTCTAAAGAATGATGCGGATAATAATCTAGAGAATCAGCGGAATTGACGTATGTCCCATCATACGAAATTCCAAAGAAGTCATAGCTTTCCCCCAAATAGAAGGAATAGAATAAGCAGTCTGTCGCATTATATTGAACAAATTCATCCTCCTGCTGATATCCCGATGTCAGAATTTGTCGGTGATTTTCTTCTGCATTGTCATAATTGATCTGAACCAAAGTCGGGTCAGACGACGAGAGGGTTGGTTGAAAAGTTTCGGAGATTACCGGTGAGTTTGTTTCTAAATTGGAACCCTCTGAGGCGGCAGAGGAGAATCCAGGCTCGGAAGAGAGGTAGTTTTCCAAAGGAGGATGATTCGCATTCAAGTAATTAGTGGTGCTGAATGAAGAGACATTTTCATTCATTTTGTTTGGGAATACATGCATCTTGAAGGTATTCCTCTTCTTTGGCCTAAACTTGTACCCGGGATACATTTCGTTGTGGATACATTGGACCTGTAGTTGAATCTTATCATATCGGTCCTTAACCTCCTGAGGACACTCCCTCCAGACTCTCTTGGACTGAATGCACAGCTCGGGCATCGTATAACGATACCCGAGCGCGCGCAGCTCGAGCATATAACAATTCTTCAGCAAGAAGTAAGCATTAGGTGGTCTTGGAGGGTTGCTTGAGGGGCGAGGCCTGCGTCTGGTAGACATCAATTGAAGTACCGAATATTTAGGATTGTATATCCTATCCAAATTTAGATCATGAGGGATTTCCACCCTCAGACGCTTTGACTGAGAACCTCCACTTTTATTATTTTCAGGTTTCCGCTCTTTTTGCGGGGCGAGAAGTTGAAGTTCAGCTCGCAGGGTTGGGTTTTCGACAGGCATGTTCTGACGCGTTTCGGAGTGAGTAAATTCTTGCATGATAAAATAGTTGATGGAGAAGATGTTGCACCTAAAAAGGACTGCGAGAACCTCTTATTTATAAAGGAAAGCTTTCGATTGTGGAGTAAAGGAGGGAGTGATTATAGAGTACGTTTCTTTGATGTGCGACCCCACAAACAAGGAAGAAAGTGAATTTATTAAAAAAAAATAAAAATAAAAGAGGTAATCTATTTATAAATTGTTTTTTATCAATCACAAATATATTTATTTACTGTATTTTTTTTTTTTTGTTTACGTTTTACCGCAAAATTTTTGGATTATGCATTGAAAAAAAAACTTTGCCAATTTGCTTTGTAATATATTTCTGTGTTACCTTTGTAACTTCGTCGATCAAAGAAAATTAAATACGGTTCCCTACTTGGAGATGCATATGCAAATTCACATTTTCTGCAAACCACTCTTCCCAAACTCTCGAATAGCCCCTATTTCTCACACGTGAGACATTGTTTACTGGATTCATGCAGGGAATTTCTTAATCGAAAGAAATTAAAATAGAAGATAATGAACGGAAACCAATGTCACGCGAGTCGAGCATAGATTACCGGGTACGTAATTTATTGCGAGGAACATTACTCACTTCTTCAAAATGATCGAAATAAATCGCAATATTTTAAATAACTATTGCCCGTGTACAAACATAAAATTTATTTATAGCTAATGTGACCAGGGACGAAAAAGATTATACGGAATTTGTTTTCCATTCGTGTGATCTGTTGGTCGTTCGTGTTCAATTTTCTATTTTTCTACATGTGCTACACACAAATTAGCGACAAAGAAAGTGTCGAAAAATGTTATTCTCTCGATCGCATAACGATAAATTTAGAAGACGACCATAGTAACTATACGATCATGACAATTAAGGCTGCAAGTATGCAAAGGCAATCTGTACGTATGAGTTTTTTTTCATTTTAATTTTTAAATTTTATATTTTTTTATATGATTATAACTTCGAACCCGAAGTCTAGGAGTATATTCTATTGAATGTATACGTGTTTGAAAAAAAAACAATATCATCAGAGAAATAATACCAGATGCTCATCCTGTAAATTAATGGATGACGCATTCGGCTCACCAATTTGACCATACTACTTTCCTATGATGGAAATTTTATGGAATTCTGTTTTTTTTTTGTTGCGATCTAAATGAAATGAACTATTTCTATACAAATATCTAGCACATCACCCTTGAAAGCATAAGCCATGTGGTCTTTCTCTCTTATGGATTCTATATTCCTTTCGTTTTCGATTTAAATTCTTTCACACCCTCCTCAAATGAAATTCCACAAAAAGCAGACTGTGATCAAGCGTTAAAAATATCGATGTTAAAAAAAAAAAAAAATTCCTCACGGAAGTTCTTTTGACAAAAGCAACAATAGGGCAGGAATTTGTTTCTTGTTTCAAGGAATTACAACCTCCACACATAACTCGGCATGTGGCTGCTTACCCTATGATTGTATGCATTCCTCTCTTTTGATATTTTTCGTAGAATCTTCGACGGATGGTCGAGAAAAAACTTAAATCCTTGAATCGTCGAAATTATGCATGGGGGAGACTTCTTTGCGTAATACGCGAGTGTTTCACCGGAATACTTTGGTGGCAATAACCTCTCACGACAATGCATCATGATAGGAGCTTATGGAGTTCAAAATCCGATAATTCTATTTTAAGCCAAAACTCATCAAACCCGTAAGGACATAATTTATTCTATCCAAATTTATAACAATCGGAGTTCCGACAAATTTCATATACGGAAAATCGGAGTCCGACAATGCAAAAAGCTCACATGTGATCATCAATCACTCATCTGTGTAGCAATATAGTTCAACGCATCGCCGAAACTTTAGTTTCACTAATTAGACACAAAAAAATATTTTCAATTAGCCGATGTTCACATTGGAATAGGTCGCTATATATTATTGCGTTGATTATATTGGTTTCTGGGATATACAGTATGTCTACTGAAGAATAGGTTTTCAAGCGACGTCCTCGTCAAAGTCTTCGAGTCCATAAAGGTTTGCACAAGTTCTTTAAATAATTGGTATTTCAAGAGATATGTGTCCATGTGGAGAAGGTTGCAATTAATTAGGATAGGGTGGAGTTTAAATCTTCAATACTTCACCCGGAATGTGTTCTGCAGCGCCTTATCGATACGAAGCTATCACTCCACACGATTTCCACGCATCAATAACGTGATGAAATTTTCAAAGGTTCTCTGCGTCACCCGAAATTACTCGCTAGTGAAACAGGATCATATATGTTTCCGTAATAAAATATGACTCCGAGGGAATGATCAAATACAGTTACAATTTGTGATCACGCACTTCGTGACCAGGAAAGTTAATTGGATAGACCGAGGCATTTTAATACTTTCTTGGAAAAGGATCTTGCTCTCTTTTCGGGGGTTTCTCTCGGATCGTTACTTGGTGTATAACGCTCGGTAATTTCAAAGAAATCTTTTTATTAAATATCGATGATCTTCATACATTAAAGCGATAACGGCGTTGATCGGTTCTATTTAAGAATATAATGGAATTTCATCTTGCGAGTTTTCATGTCAAAATTGGCAAGGATTTTCTGAAAATATATAATGTCAATGGTAATTTATTTACCGCGAACTTCCAATTTCAGCAGAATGAATTGTTCCGGGCTTGTTCTCTTTAAACAAAAGTAATTGATTTGGTTTCTCTATGCTGTCCAAGTACAATTGAATCTAAGATTAGGATTGCATTGAGTTGATATTTGAAAGTTGTACAAGGTTTTCACTCATCTACATTATTTATTTATGTACAATAAATTCAATCGTTTTCTTTATTATCTAGGAAGTAATTCAAGGTCTCAAAATGCTATTTTGCTTGGAAAAAAGTCAGAGATAAAACGGGGTATTGATAAACAAGGTTCTCTACGGTTTGTATCGAGTTTAAAATTTAGCTTTTATTTTATTTTTTCGAAGTTAATTCGTTTTTGTGTCGGTTATAATATTTTTAGGTTCGAAATAATTGTTTCAAAGTTGTTAGAATTGGTGATAACTTTTATGGTAATATGATGTTTATATTCTTTTATCGCGAACAGACGAGTTAATCGCAATATTTTTTTCTAGTCATGTTCTCAATATACTATATTCGATCCTTATACAGAAAGGACCTTATACTCGATTATACGTCTGTACAATTGATTTTTTAGAAATGAATAAGGGCTCTTTTATGGGAGTTATAATATCAAGTTCGGCCGATATCTATTGAAAAGAAGTAAAAGGATGATATACTGTATCAAAGTTTTACAGTATATTAGAGCAGTTTTGTTATAAATTAATTGATATCGGGTTGAAGAATCTTTAAAAATCCCCAGGCATAAAGTTGCAGTTTAAAATGTGGTTGGTATCTAACTAAATTTCCTTCAAGTTAATTTATTGATTTCTAAGATCAAACATTTTAATAATTTTAGTATCAAATAATCTATAAATTTTAAACAATTTGAATTAATTTTATAGGGTGATTTAGCAATTATGCATTTACCATATCCTCCCGTTATAGGAACCCTTTTTGGATACTTTTTTTCAGGTTTAGTTTTGTAGAGGTGCTTATAATCAATTGGGTTATGTTTTTTAAATAGCTCAATTAATATCAATTTATTTGATTAAAAAATATACCATGAGAAAGTTCTCATTGAAAGGAATCTCATGGTATAAAAATAATCAAAATCCAATTACTGGTTACTGTGTTATCATAAATAAATAACATACTATATGTACTAATATTGAAAATTTGAAGTCATATAATTTGATATGATATTAAAAATGATATTATTAAATAACTATTATTTTATTGCATGCATCTACATAATTGTTCACAAAAGTTTTCGCTTGCCTATTATTATTATTATTAACATTTTAGATAAGTTTTATAGATATTTTATTAGGAATACTTTTATAATGAAATTATAAGAAAATAAAAAGATAATTTGCTTTAATTATCTAACTTGCAATTTTAATTTTTTTTTATTTAATCATGTTTTATTTGTTAAAATACTATAATAAAATTATAGAATTGTATCTACAATTAAATTTAAAATGCATTATCTATTAACTTAAAAATAAAAACTCAATAAATATGGTTTTTTAAAGAAGATCATTCACATTATAACTTATTATTATTTCTATAAAAAACCAATCTATTAAGATTAAACTAGCATTAAAATTTTTTTCAAATATGTAAAATAGGTTTATAATATTTATTAGTTGGATATTTATATATTTAATATCATTGTACTTTTTTTATGGTTTTTTTTTCTTTTATAATTTATAATATGTTTTTTTAAACTTGAAATTATTTATTTTATTTTATTTTTTTTAAAACCCATAGTCAGGTCAACATAGTATATTTATTAATCTTTAAAAAAACTGATAGAAATACATTGAACAATTATATTATGACTAAACTAAATCTCATTCTGATTCACTTATCAATAGTTTTTAATTCTCAAATAAGCTTAAGCCTCTAAGAGAAACCTTGAGAAAAATATTTTGCTCTAAAATAAGTTTTGAATAAAAACCTTCTTAACTTATTCATTATTATCAATAGATTATCATTATCTATTCTTCTCCAAAGAACTAATTATAAGAAACTATAATAAAGAAAAGAAAAAATGAAAGGAAGAGAAATATTAAAAAATATACAAATATGCATATATGAAGAGAAAAAAAAAAGGAAAAATAAAAATGCTTCATATCCTCCAAAAAATCTCTACTAGAAACCTCCTTTTATTAGAAACCAATCCTTTTAAGATATTCTTTTTCTTCTTGATTATTTGATAAACTTATCTATCCATGATCTTAATTATTTTCTTGTGATTATTTGAGATACTTATTGCTTATTTGAATCCAATATCTTACTTGTCACTTTCTTTCTTTTGATATTAATTTTACCACTCATACAAATCTTTAATGGC